ACTGCTGTAACACAACCTGGAGGAAATTTGCTCCATAAATAATCCTGGTCAGGTTCAGGGTGGCTGCCAGGGGCACTGCTTGTTCCCCCTCGCCATCCAGCTGGCCACACGTGTCCTGCCCCAGTCCCGCACCCACCGTGTGGCCCTCACCCGGCCCCGAAGGGATGGGGGTCCAGGGAAAGCCTTGCCCCCACCACCAGAACCGGGGAGCAAAGCCCCCCCCCTTTCACCGGTGATGTCCTTCCTCCTGCCGGCCCCAAGAACCTTGTGTGTTGTGAGAGTGATGGTTCCTGAAAAAGGAACAAGAAAAAGAAGAAGAAAAAAAAAAATTAAAATAAAATAAGGGATATTTTTATTCATCCTTGTCTTCTGCTAAAAATAACCAGCGTTAATCTGCCTTGCGAGCGTGGGGGGGGAGAGGCGTCCCCTTGCGAGCCTCACGTCGAAGAGCCCCATCGGTGAATCTCTGGAGCGCTGGAGAGCCGAGGAAATGGGTTTTTCTCCCTGTTCCCTTCCGCCTGTAACAGCACAAATCGATGGCCCCGGGGCAGAAATCGATGGCCCCGGAGGCAAATGACCCCCGCTGGAAACTCCCCCTCCCAAGGGGACCGAGTCCCTCCTTCCCCCCAGTACCCAGATACCTGCCTTTCTGGGGGAGTAAAGCAGCTTTTTGATGCTCCCCCTGCATCCCCCCCCCACCAAGGACACCCCTCCGAGGGCCTGGTTTGTCACCTGGGTGCAGGGTGACGGGAGCGCGGCGCGGGGAGCCGGGTGTTTACGGGAGGTGCAGCTGGGTGTTGCACAACAGGCGGCCGAGTCCAGGAGGACACCGTGTCCTCGCTGCTGGCTGTAGGTGCAGCCGGGCGGCAGCGATGGGGACACAGATGGGGGGACACAGCGGGTTGAGGAGGCGGGGGGGGGCAGCAGGGCAAGACCACCTGCTCGGCGTGGGGCTGCTTGACCCACAGGCTGCATTTCTGCGTGAAATCGCCCCAAATCTTCCCAGCAGAGGGGCGGCGGGAGGGATGCTGGGTGGTGGTGTGGAACCTGGCCAGTGGCGAGCGGCCGGATCCAGCCCGGGGTGGTCCCTCCTCCGGCTGCAACCCCTCTCCTTGCTCAGACCCACAGCTCCTGCCCTGAGTTTTACCGGCAGAGGGGCTGAGGCGCCCCCAGACCCCCAGGGCAGCCCCATTGCAGGCCGGATCCTGCCCGCGTCCCCCAGCGAGCCAAGGGCTGGCCTTTTCCCCCAGCATTTCCAACCCATGAATTTCCGGGTTGCAATCCGAACGCTGGCCCCAGTTGGCAAAAAAACTCATGGAAGCAGGTGGGGACACCTCCAGCCACAGGCTTTGGTAAGGCTGGATCCATCCCTGAATCCCAGCATCCCCCACGGGGCTGGATCCATCCCTGAATCCCAGTCTCCCCCAGTGGGCTGGATCCATCCCTCAATCCCCATCCCCCCCCATGGGGCTAGATCCATCCCTCAATCCCCCTCTCCCCCACGCCGTTTCCTCCAGGCACCAGGAACAGCTTTTACCATCTGAAAGGACACAAATATTTGCCCAAATTATTTCCCTCCTGCCGAAAAGGGGGAATAATCCCTGGACCCCCTGGTTGGAGATGAGTGGCAGGGAGGATGTGGGGGCCAGGCAGCATCCCGGGCTCCCCCCATCCCGCCGGAGATCCAACCCTGCAGGATGCAGCAAGGCCGGAGCGAGGAGGATAAATAAAGTCCGGCTTTGCTGTCCTGGCCTGGGGCCACTTCTAACACAAAGTACATTCCGGTCTGGACGTAACGAACTGTACCAGGCTCTGCCGGGGCAGGCGGGTGGCCGGGGGCAGCCGGGGCTCCCCACCCAACCCGCTGGGATGGGGGTGTCGGGGGGGT